TTAGAAGTTAACAAACTTAATTTTATAACTTTTTAAATATATATATATATATATATACTGTATTGAACCACATAAAGTTTTTTTTTTATATGTATAAAATTTTTAACAATATAATTAGATTTAGTAGGTTTACTAAGACCTATTAGAGATAAGGTCATTCAAATAAAATTAATTGTTTCTCGTAGCATATTAAGATTAAATAACACCCGGAACCCGGTTGCTGTTATTGTAAAATTTAAAACTCAAATCTCCAAATGTAACCAAAACAGTTTCGAATTAATTTCATCAGCAAAATATAATACTTTATTTTTTTTTATAATACGCGCTAAAACTGTATATTAAGGAGCGACATATAATTTATTACGTACAGTACATAGGTACGTACTGTACGTACATAACAGATAACAGATAAGGGTTCTGCCAATCCATGTGGTTGATGGACAATGGAATTATAATTATCTGTTAGATAATTAGGGAATTAATTATATGAAATGTAAAAATCAGGTATCTCGTTATTTAATAATGATAATTTAAGAATACGATTGAAAAAAAAACTACATAATTGATATTTGATATAATAACGATATGGGTAGCTATTTTTGAACCTGGACCAATTTTATATATTACGTAATACCATTTTGGTCTGGATTCAAAATAATTAGCCATATTGGTCTGATTCAAAAATAATTAACCATATCGATATATTCTAAATCGATTAACTTATAACTCGTGGCTTAAATCAATGAAATGATTAAATAAGTATTATCATTATGATTTAATTAAATCGCTTTCCAAAAGTTATAGCACAATATTTTCTTTGTTGACAAACCTTTTAAAAAGAATTTTAAAAGATTGCCACCTTACAAATACAAGTGAATTTAACCTGGTTTGGAAATTAAATTAGTTAATTTGTATGAGGGTTATTTCTGTATTTAGGTTAATTTGATCTTCACTGTAATGATGAGCGAAACAGTACGTCAAGGACACGGAGATTATGTGATTTAGTGTGATTAAAAATAGCATAATTTTACATCATTTATATTACATCAATGTCACATGTATTCATTATTAGCTTGACTCAACCTTATATTTAACTATTATAAAAACCGATTAATAGTGTGAAATAAATTATTTCTAGTAGTATGTTAAAATGCGAGTTTAGTAGTATGTTAGTGTAAAAAATGCATTAAACCTAAAATAAATACATTCTTTAAAATAAAAAAAAAATTGTTATTTTTTTGTATGGATCCAAAAAGAATTACATTGAACAATAAAACGCTTGAATTTAAAAATGAACAATAGTTTTTTTTTTTTTTTTAGTTTTTAGTTGAGTGCAGTATTTTAAAACTGTTTTTTAATTAACGATTAAAAATCGCACTTTTATTTTTTTAACCATCAATAAATCGAATATTTTATATATACCGCCGCACACATAATTTACAAATTCTTATCGTATAAATTCCGTGTCCCTGCAGAGTACGTGAGAATGAATAAAAATTTTCATGTGAATATCTAACAATTATATAAGGAAAATTTCCAAATATCACAACTTGATAAAAGTAGTACGCACGTAGAAAGATTCGATTATTTGCAGGTTTATTTTATCATAACAACCTGCATTTTAGTTGACCAATATTAGATTTTATGTGCTGACAATTACAGAATAAACTAAACCAATTTATTAATATTTGCAGTCTATGGTTAAGATGTTCACGGGACGGTTTTTTCCAGGCTAAATACGTACTTGTACACACCTATGACCGTACGAACGTTGTACGTACGTACGTACGTGTGTATTTTTTTTAGGTACAAAACAAAAGACAAAATGTCAAATACTTATATAAGCCTTTAATATAACTTTGAGCCATATATAGTATTTGTCGATAAATGCTTCTCGCGCACGGATGTTATCACGTGGCGGTTTCGAACAACTTGGTTGAAGTTAATTATTTAAAGACCCATGAAACAAAATAATTAAAAATGATCTTTTTATTTTTGCCTTAAATTCTTATCAATTCTTATCTATCAACTTTTTATGCATAAGAATAACTCCCCAAAGAAAAAAAAAAATTTTTAAAATCACCCCACACTAGAAATTTGTATCTTCATTTGGACGTAAATGACGATATGGTCCTATTTTAGTATATAAATTGTGTCAGCCGTCAAAATGTATATACGCTTATTTAAGAAATGACCCTGTAATAACGCATCAAGTTATAGAATTATGCAATAAAATTTAGCTAATGCCACATTAACGTTTCACAGAAATCTGATTCAAAAGAAAAAAAAAAAACCAGAGTGCAGCTGGCTTGAGCTGGAGCTTCTTGATCTTTGCTTCAGCTTCATATAAGAAGGTGCCTACCTACCTTCCATTCACTCTTAATTTTCTTATCGATATTTTTTTTCATTTATACAATATTCAAATCCTTTTTTTCTTCTTCTTTTTCATATATATACGAGATTTAAAATGATTGAGGATAATTTGATCACGCGTATTTGCATTCGAATTTTCGCATGGATCTATTCTTTCGCTATCCCCATAATGTCATTTATTTATTATTTTTATTATTTAACTCAAAGAAAATCTTTACTTGTTGAGTGGTTTCCTGGCACCTTTTTCACCGAATTTTTGAATTCTTCCCTTTCTAATTTTCTACATTATTGGCTTGGATTTGAGCTAATATTTCTTCTATATTTCCTAGCAACTAAGTCGAGATTTCAAAATCATTTACCCCCTGTTGTACCATCTAAACAGTTGCGACGCGAACTTATTGATTTTTGTTTTTGTACTGTCGATAAATTCGAAAGCTGGCTTGAAGGTTGGTTTAATATTGGTCACAAGAAGTCTTCCTTTAATCAAATTTACAAGGAAAACTTGGCCGAATGGTATGTATGTTGATTATTTCGCATGAATAAATTTTTCTTGTATAATGTATTTGATTTCATTCTTTTCTAGGATATCTTGGAGCTTTTTTGCTACTAGCCTAAAAAATATTCGCAACCATCCTGAATATTCAGAAGAAATAAATGAAATAATTGATTTAATAGAAAAGCGTATGAATGTTAAGTTTCGTCAAGGATACAATCCAAATTGTGAATGTATTAAGCTCACCTTAGACCCTGTTCAAGCTATTCCTAGGCCCTTCATTTTTTATGCTGTACGTATTGTAAAATATGCCTATTATCTTGGTGAAATTTTGAGTTATCTTAAAATCTCAAATTTTTTACTAAGATATCCATTTTTTGCTTCTAGGCAAAAAATGTTTATCGTGAATTTTACGTATAACCGTATATTACTTGAATAAATAAGGTTCTAAACAAATTGTGTAACAAAGATCTATCGTGTTAGAAAAAGTTATCTTCGCTAGTATTAAAAGTTTTTCTTTTTATAAAACTACTATATTGTGTTTGTAATATGTCAGTTAGTAATTAACAGAAAGATCCTGTCCTGAGAATTTTTCACTCACTCGGGTATATAAATTTATAAACATCTTTTAATATTAGCGAGGTAGACTTTTCACCAACCCGGTATGAAAAAACATCAATCAAATCGATACTCATATATATGTAATGTTTTATGTTTTATAATATTAGACTATCTTCTTATTGAGTTTTGGATTCAATACCTTCTTGAAATTTTATGGATTCGAACATTATGGTTCAAAAAACAATATCTTGAACGGTTACTGGTCAAGTACCCTGGAATTTGATATTCATGAAGGTTATCCTCCATCAAAAATCAGCTATTGGTATTACAATCCTCATTCTTGTTTCCCATCAAGAAAAAAAGGTCATCTTAAACCAATCGTTTTTATTCATGGTGTTGGTGGTGGTTTATTTTGTTATCTTAATTTTATCAAAAAATTGAGGAAATTGGATCGTCCTTTGTTTTTGGTTGAATTACCTTATGTTTCAATGCAGATGGTTGAAGACGTTCCAACAATGGAGGAAACTGTTCGTGAAATTGAAGAAATGCTTGTCTCTCGAAATTATCCAAAAGCTGTATTCGTTGGTCATTCGTTAGGCACTGCTGTGTGTGCTTGGATGGTAAAGGAAGCCAGGAAACGTATTAGTGGTCTAGTCTTGATAGACCCAATCATTTTTTTACTACATTACCCAAATGTAGCTTATAATTTCAAGTATCGGATTCCGCAAGCTGCCAATGAGGTATATTATATTTTGCGTTTAATCATTTTATACATTTTATATATATTTCATACATTTTATATATTTTATACATTTTATATACATTTTATATATTTTATATTTCAACCTTATTAATCAATATTTTTTTTATCTTCCTAAAATTATTAGCACATAATATCATTTTTCGGGTCACGTGAATTGTACACTTCCTATTATTTCTCTCGACATTTCCATTGGTTTCAATGCATTCTCTTTATTTCACCGCGTAATATCCTTCCACACAACACTTACGTTTATATAGCGGAAAAGGATAATCTTGTTCCTTCGAAGGAGGTTTACAAATATCTTACTAAAAATAATGTGAATGTTCACATGATGCACAAATTGGATCACTCGAGTTTCTTGTTTAATTCTCACTGGGAAGATAAAATAATTAACGACATTTTGAAATGTTCTAATTCTAGAAAGTCTTACATGAAATAGCCAGAATTGTAAAATTTATCAACTAGAGACTATGACGCTCTAATAGGGATGATAGAAAAACGGTTTAACCTGCTTTTTTTTTTTTTAAAAAAAAAAAACTTTTTTAAAACATTGACGTCTGAATTAAAATTTTGCTGAAAATGAAATATTGTCTAATTTTTAATTTCAACTTTTAGCCGAGAAAATTTTTTTTTAAAAAGATAATTTCGAGTTATATTGATCGCTTTAATTTTTATCAAAGCTATTACATTTTTAAATGAGAAATTTGCTTATCGGCTAGTACAACCTTTAATTCAATATTAGTTTTACATTTGAAGTCCAAGATTTAAAATATTACCATTATGTAAACCTCATTGAATAAGTTTTTGCGAATGAATTATTTGAAGAACCAGAATCTTGTTTTTTGAGCTTTTAATAGATCTTTTATATTTCTTGGAATTTTTTACATTTTAATAAATGACTTTTTAAGATAATCGGCAACTAAATCAACACAGTCTTCTTCGCAATATTTATATTTTTGGTGAGGTGTTGTTCGATTATGTTTACATGTATCAGTTCGACAACTTTTTGTAAAGTTTAAACAGATTTCTTTTAACGGGGTCTCCCAAACAATGAAGAATTCTATTTTTTTTTTTGAATTTTAGTAATCGTAAAATTGTACATTTAAATTACGTAATCGGATCATAATTACGCCATAACGTACTAAAACTTTTTTTTTTGTATTGTTTATATTTCTTTTACAACTTTATAAACTCTCTTACGGTGTAATATGCCTTGTAAGCTTTTAACCTTATTATTATGGCATGGGCCAACTTCAAAGGATGGTAAAGGGTGGTATGTGTTTTGATTTATTTAGTGCCAAAGGGATAGTATTGAGGCTAGGGATGGGTTCGACTACGAACCCATCCCTAATTGAGGCATGTGAAAAACTTTATAACGATCGGAGTTGCGGTCTGCATATCTAGTATCAACCTTATTTATTAACCGGTCTCAAAACGATGCAGACAAAAGTTTATTCCGCAAGAAAAATTTTCCAGAAATCACACATGTTGTGCATACAATTGTCTGAAAGACTGAGGCGGAAGGTTTATTTTGAACATTTATTCATAACAGATAACAATAACAAAGTCAAACAATACGTCTTAGTAGCTCCAGGCTAATAATTAGACGATAATCTAATGGGTTTGATGCAAGTTCGTTATATCCTTGTTGCATAATAGTGCGGAATAAACCCTCAATAAATCAAAACAATCATCCTAATAATTCGTCAGACCATTCAAAAAAATTAAATAAGGGGTTTGAACCAAATTTAGTGACTCTATTCAGGGCCCAATTGTTGCCAATTGGCCCATATAGGGATGGGAAAAAACGGTTTAACCAGTTTTTTAGATGTTTTAAAACTTTTTAAAAAACTTTTTAAAACATTGATGCTGAGACTAAATTTGCTAAAATGCTGATTTACCAAATTTCATAGAGATAAATTTTAAAGAAAAATATTCAATTTATAAATTTTTTTTTGGTATTGAGGTGATCTCTTTGGCCTGGGAGCTTTTTATTAGAGTATAGATAATATTATTACAATTACAACAAAGGTACATCAAGCCACACATGCACTTTTGGCATCTAATTTAAGTAGTTCACCCAAAGCATTAGTACTATGCTAGGGGTTCTACATAGAGATGTGCCATATGCATTATGCAGGCAATGTTGCATGCTACATAATGCCGCATGATGTGATGCAAGTTGTCTAAAATTTAAAAATCCATATAGAAGTTATTATTTAATTTGATTCATATCATTTCAACAACTATCATTTTATAAACACTTGTTCTTATAAAATTAATAGCTTGTGAAACTAATAAAAAATTAATCTACTAGGTCTTTTTTCACTATATAAATCTAATATTTTATGCTTTCAAATTTGATAACCTCTCAGTAATAATACAAAGTCTGTTCATTACATATAGGTTTTACAGAATTGCATAATGCATCATGTGACATAATATTACATTATATAATGCAAAGTCAAAAAAACTTGCATTCATATATCTCTAGTTCTACACTATCTGTTGTACCTGTATCTAACTACAGAAGTTGTCTGTTTAAACTTTCTAGTTCTAACTGCCATTACCTGCTCACTAATCTATAAGTATTACTTACTATTTATTCACTAGATTTTGCTTCTACCCAATTAGATTTTACACCCTACTTTAGGATTTACTAACTTAAGCTAGTCTATCTATAAGATGAACCCAACAAAGTGGTACATATCTCATACATGTATTTATCTGCATGTTTTAATAAATTTTTTCTAACTAGTATCTGCTATCTACCATATTATAATTATATTTCATAGTACTTTTTAGAGTGCTGCTATACTACAGTTATATATTAAATTCTAACCTTTATAATTAGGTGTCTATTATATACTTGCTCTTATTCAGTTTACAACAACCTGGTACTCATATTTGGACTATCTTCTTATCCAGATTCTTTATTGGTACCTCCTTTACTTCTAGCTAGCAACCTAGTAGAGTTGGTCTGCTTAGGCTTTAGGTGCTTCATGATCTTTCTTCTCTTGGTTTATACTTTTGAAGTGTATATTCTTTTTCTCTAATATGTCTAGTACCTATTGGTTTAGCTAGTATATTTCCCACTTAAGGGTCTAATTGTTCAGTTTTTAATTTTAGGCCCCAGTTTAAATTTAGCCTTTTTGTAGCACCGTCAAAGATTATTGCTACCTCTTTACTTGGAACTTTCCAAACAGTTTTCAGCTATTCTGGTTCCTTGAATTTATTGTACCAAAGCTTCTATTACTAGATTCTAGATTTAATTGATAATCAATAGCTATAAATTGTAATACAGGTCTATTTTTCAAAATTATTATCCATGAGATTCAAACTCTAGACCTGCTGCTTGAAGAAAGTAACAACAAAACTACTATACTAAGTCACCACATCTTATTTATAAACTTTTGTTATTATATAATTATAAAAAATAATTATAAATTTAAGAATAAATATAGTTATAGTCTATGGCTACATGTAGCCTACGTAATACAAGTAATAGTATGTGTAATGTACGTAAGTATAACATGATCTTTGTAGTATGTATAACATATGACACAAGTAATAGTATGTATAATCTAAATGTACGTAAGTATAATGTGATCTTTGTAGTATGTGTAATATATGACAGATAGAGCATATGCATATAAAAGAAAAAAATAAATAAAATGTTATTCTTTTACAAACCCAAAGCTAATATAAAGTGCACACTTACTGTCTTATAATCGTAGTGTTGGGCCAAAATAGTTTTATACTATACTGGAGTTTCTTTCTTTGACAATACTGGTGTGGTAAATACTTGTAATTGGTTTTTTTTCTGGTGCAAAGTGAGAAATTAAGAATGACGCTTGCATTTTGGTTTATAGGTGTCAAATATATAAAATAAGGTGAGTTAACCTTCAATTAAACACTATAGCTACTATATAGTATTGGATCACTTACTATAGTTCTATTGATTCTAGTCATTTTTGGCTTCTTGTTCATTTCAACCTTTTTATTTGTTTCATTCATTCTAGTATAAAATATATAACAAGGTGGTTATTAGTAGGCTCTTTTAATTAAACATTATAGCAATTATATATTACTTTGGATTACTTCTATTAACTCCAACTATTCTAATCATTCTAGTCATTCTAGCATATATAACAAGGTGGGTTATTAATAGGCTCTTTCAATTTAACATTACGGCAATTATATATTACTTTGGGTTACTTTTATTAACTCCAACTGTTACAATCATTCTAATTAGGGATGAGATTGGCTCAAGCCGGCTTAACTTGGCTTAAGAGCCGAGCTGAGCCAGCTCGAAGCCGATCACATGACTTGGCTTGAGGCCGATTTGAGCTACTATATTATTTTTAACAATTTTAATATCATTATTATTTAAAATAATTTAAAACTATGAACTAGTTCACGATCGACTCTAGTAACATTTTGGTGACATCGGTGTCAACTGTGAACTAGTTCACAATCAATTTTGGTAACATCAATATTAACCATGAACTAGTTCATGATCGACTTTAGTGACATTAATATTGATGTGAATTGTTCATGATCGACTTTAGGACTTTAATATTGATCATGAACTATTTCATGATCAACTTTGGTGACATTATGAACTAGTTTATTACCATAATCCCTAATCGAAGAAAATTTAGATGATTAATTTATATCCCACTAATTGTGAACTAGTTTACAATTGAGTTGAATTTGATCCATCTTTGATACCTAGCAATCTTGGGATTATATTTTGATGAATTTGGTACTGTTTGAATCATCTCAATAAGATGATTCGAATAATACCAACTTCATCCAGATCCAATCACAAGATCACCAGGTATCAAAGATGGATCAAATTCTTTATCATGAATTAGTTCACGATTGAGTGGATTTGATCTATTTTTGATATCTAGTGATCTTGACGTTGGATTTGGATGATTTTGGTACTATTCAAAACACATTACTTAGATTATTCGAATGGTATCGAATCATCGAGATCCAATCACAAGATCACCGGATATCAAAGATGGATCAAATTCTTTATTATGAACTAGTTCACGATTAATTAAAATTTGATCCATATTTGATATCTAGTAAACTTATAGTTGGGTTTGGATAATTTTAGTACCGTTAGAAGTATATTATTTAGATGATTTGAATAGTACTAAAATCACCCAGTTTCAATCACAAGATCACTAAATATCAAAGATGGATCAAATTCTTTATCGTGAACTAGTTCACGATCGATTAGAATTTGATCCATCTTTGATATTTGATGATTCTGTAGTCTAATTTGGATGATTTTAGTACATTTGAATCATCTAAATAATATATTTCGAATGTTACCAAAATTATTTTCACTATGTCAATGATAGATTGAATCTTTATCATGAACTAGTTCACGATCATTTGGAATTCGTAGCACTGGCTTGACTATAGTGGCCTAAAATCACAATCGAATCATGTTTGTAAATTAAATAGACTTGCCCGTAGCTTTACTACGGAAATTATAATGCTAAAATGTTAAATGCATAACTTTTTTTTGTTTTATGTTTAATCTAACTGAATTTATTTTTTGATGATTCTACTTAATATTAAATAAAGTAATGGCAAGATGATGTCACGCAAAACCAAGACATTAATTATAAATAATGATAATAGATATGCACCATTCAAATTATACTTTTAGAATGTGGAGTATAACTAGAGCTAACATTTCTAAGCTGCTAATGTTATCGAAAAAATATAGGAATTGAAATGAACATACGACATTCAGCTATTGTTTGAGTTGAGTTATACACTGTTGGACAAGTGGGATTAATGTAGAATCCTAAATTATTGCTTTAATTGTTATTGCACTTTTCAAAAAGATGCGAACTCTGTCACAATGTCATGTGAAAATCGAAGATTCTTTAGATTTAAGTATTTTAATGATTCTAAATAATTATATATACTACTGATCAAAAATAAGGAATAATAGACAATTTAGAAGCTTGGAAATTTTCCTGATCATTATAAAGATCATTTTGAAAGCGCATATAATTATAACTGCTATGATAGAGTGAAGTTAGTAATAATGGAACAAAATGGAATGAATGTTAAAATTGATGAATATAAAATATCTGTTGTATAAAGTACTATGTATTGTATTACGTGACATCGGCTCGAGCTGGCTTGAGCTAGCTCGCTGGCTCAACTCATAAGCCGTGGCTAAGCCGGCTTATCACAAGCCAATCTCATCCCTAATTCTAATTATTCCAGCATATATAACAAAGTGGGTTATTAGTAGTCTCTTTCAATTAAACATTATGGCAATTATATATTACTTTGGGTTACTTTTATTAACTCCAACTATTTCAATTATTCTGTCGTTCCAGCCATCCTGCAGTTCTAGCTATTTCAATTGTTTAATATATAAAACAAGGTGAATTATTAGTATTCTCTTCGAATTAAGTATTACAATAATTATATGATATTGGGTTACTGATCTTAGTTCTATTAATAGTTTTAGCATTTTAGCTGTTTTAGCAGTTTTAACCATTCCAGTATCAAATATACAAAGCAAAGTAGGTTATTAATTAGCTTATTTATTAAACATACCATAATATTAGCTTACTCTAGTTTCGCTATTTCAATTATCTATTCCAGCTATTATAAATGATGCAAAACGATAATATATATAGAACAAGGTATTTATTAAGTAAAGCATTGTAGTGGGCCTAGAAATTTAAACTATAGAAACTTAATATTACTTTATTATGATACATAGTTCCATTCAAGCATTAACAATAACCAACAAAAATTTAAACTTGAATTCATCTGTGCAGCCTAATAATGAACAATTAGAATTACCACTTTTATATACATTTCTCTTATTACAGAACCCAAGTAATTTAATTAATCTAGTTGAGCAAAACTCTGTAATTTACTTACCACTTTATTATGATAGTTCTATTTAAGCATTAACAATGACAAATGAAAATTTAAACTTAAATCCATCTGTGCTGCCTATTAATAATAAGCAATTAGGATTACCATCTTCATATTTATTTTCCTTATTACAAAATAATTTAATTAATCCAGCTAAACAAAACTCTAATAGTGCTATTAACATATCCGAACCTTCTTTTTCATCAAATACAATACCAGTATCTAGTATCTCTGATAGTGATATTAATATACCTGAATCCTCTTCTTCATCAATTGCAATGCTAGTATTTGGCATCTCTGATAGTGTTATTGCAAATACTGTATTTGGTATCTCTGATAGTGTTATTGAAATGCCAGCATCTGGTATAGATTTTAGATCATGAGATGAAATTGATAAATACTTGGATGTCTATTGCCATTTAAAAAAGTTTTCTAAAATAATTTATGGAGCAAATATGATGGTTAAATACGAAGACATTGTTGTTATTGATGTGAATATCAGGGCCAGTATCGAGGTAAAAAGAAGGCAATTGTTGAAGAGCAGTGCAATACATGTTCCAAATATTGTGGATGCCCATGGTTTGTAAATGCTACATGCCTCAAGACAACAGGTGCAATTAGCATTACTACAGTTTTTTTAGAACACAGAAATCATTCTCTAGATCCGATTGCTAATAAATTTAATATTACAAACCGAACATTCACTGAGCCAATGTTGGCTAATATAGAATTATGGACTAATAAAGGAAATTTTAATATGCGTACTCAGCGTCAGTTGCTTGAAGCAAAATATGAAAGTGTTTTTTTTTTACTACAAGATTTATCAAATGCAATTCAAAGGGTAAAAGCAAAACAATGTATTGATGATGAAGCTGCAACATTGATCAATCATCTTCTTGAATCTAAAAATGAAGATATAAGGTAGATTGTTAATTGGCATGTAGATCCTACAACCAATTCTTTAGTATCTTTATTTTGGATGACTCCCGATCAATATGAACTTTATATTAAATATAGTGATGTTGTACAATATAACAATATATATTCAACTAATCGATTTAAAATGGCACTTGGACTTTTAGTGATCATTGATAATAATAATTTGTCACGTTTAGTTGGACAATTATTAATAAGTGATGAAACCTTAAAAAGTTTTGAATAGGTATTTTATTCTCTAGTTCAGGCAATAAAAACTTATCCTTCAGTTATTATAACAGACAATGGTTTAGCTATTGACACAGCAATTGCGAATATAATACCAAATATATACTATATATTTTATATTGGACAGAATTTGTTAAAGAATCTAAAATCTAAATTGGGTTCAGATTTTAATAACTTCTCTAATGCTTGGTATAAAATGAGGAATACATTGTCATTATCTGAATTTGACTGTCTTTGGGACTCTTTTTTTAAACAATATCCTAGTACTATACTATATCTTAGTAGAGTATTTGGATCTCAAAAAGAAAGATGTGCACTTTCCTATACTTCACGTATTTTTACTGCAGGGGCTCAGTTTACTCAAAGAGTAGAGAGTCAAAATGCAATCATTAAAAGTACAATTAATAGTAATACTTCGATTCTGGAACTTGTTAAAAAGATCGATATACAATTTAATCATGTATCTACTACAATTTAATATCAAAATTGGTCATATTCTGTAACTGGTTCAACGCTTATATATTCAAGCTATAATTTCTTACCTATAATTTATAAATGGATCATTGACTATCTGACACCTGCTGCGCTTTCTATACAGCGACAAGAAATAGAACAAGCTGTTTGGTCTGTTACTATATTTTTACAATTAGATAAATCTGCTATTACTAATTTAAGCTACTATATACAATATGTACTCTTTTTAACTAGTTGATAAAAATCATATATTTGAAACTGAAAATAAAGTTGAATAATTTAATACTGGCTTTGCAGAAAATAATATTTGATGTACTATTAATACTTTTGAAAGAGCTTATTCCAACTAATTATTTTGATAATATTGTTGAAATTTGGGAACTTTACCGGCATAGATGTTCTAAAAAGAACTATGTTGTTCTTTTTAATAATCAATCTCATCTTTGTACTTGTCTTGGTCTAATCTAATATGGCTTTGTATACCGCTATTTTTTTTGCTTATTGGAAAACTCCATATATGCAAAATTCAATATATCGCTTATATCAAAATGTTGATATAAAGATAAAAAGCAACTTGAAGATCTAACAATTCTTTGTCAGCAAGCATTTATTAATAGATCTCAAGAATCCTCCAAAGCTACTTTAAATATAGAAAGTTACTTAGAAATACCTTTTAATATTGGTAATATTTCTTACAAACATGTACACAAATTTTTAAATCAGCAAAAAGAATATGTAGTAGCTAATGGACTTTCCAAAAAAGTGATTCAAATAGGATTAGATGCAGGATTATTAGCAATACAAAAGTTAAACAATTTTATAAAGAAATTTATAACCAAACATGAACCAAAACATAATTAAAAATTAGCTCAAAAGAAATCTAAAAGAATATTGTTAGCTAGATCTCAGAATATACAAGATCGTGAATCTGATGATTTTAATAATTCCGATAATTCTAATGATTCTGATGATTCTAATGATTCTAGCAATTCTAATGATCCTGGTGATTCTAATGATCCTGGTGATTCTAATGATCCTGGCAATTCTAATGATTCTGGTGATTCTAATGATTCTGACGATTCTGACAATTCTAATGATTCAGGCTCAAATTATGATAATAATATTAAAAATATGGATCTATCTTTAATTCAGAATTCTATAGTTCGTGCAAAAAAAGGTGCTCCACATAAGACACAGTTCAAAGGGTTATATGAAACAAACAAAAAAAATTATAAAGGGCCAGAAAAATACAAAGTGAGATGAAAGCCAACAGAATGTCAACAATGTCACAAATCCGGACATAATAAAGCTGGCTGTAAAAAATGGCATGAAAAAAAAATCAAACTGCTTATTCTTTTTAAGTGCTTTGTTAATGATTGCATCAGAAAATTTTTTATATAGATATATATTGATACATAGCAAAAAATTGAAATATATCGATAAGATAAAAACGGCATTTATCGATAATTTAGGATATATAACGATATATATAATGATTTATTATGTTTTTGATTGTTATCAATATTTACGCTCTTTAACAATATTTATCTTTTACCAATATATAGCGATATGATTTTCTGTGTTACCATGCGATTTATTGATTTATATTGAAAATAAAGTTATCCGATGCATATCGATATGCTTCTATATATTGCATTGTAGCACAGATGTTTAAATTGATTAACGATAAACTCTTTAATTTATTAAAACATGTAAATGTTTATTAAATATTCATTTGTCTTATCATTTCTTGGAACAATATAAACAGTTTTATCTATACTTTCTATGGAAATGCAACTGTAATTCTTAATTAATTTTAATTTAGAGCATTTCCACAGCTCGCCCTCTTCTTCATACTACCAAACAAGCATGCAGTTCTCTGTCTACCGCTTGGTAAAACTTAAGTATTAGCAATACCTGAAAATTAATATATAATTATTATATTAGTATA